ATAAGCTAGTCCTAGACCCATGAGATTCAGGCAGATTTCTGGCTGCAAGTCCCAAGTTGAGCTCCCTGTCCTCCTGCAGGGTTGTACTCTGCAAGTTTCTACTGCGGGTTCCAGTTGCCCTTACCCTGAAGATAGTCCAGGTTCCAATGGGAGGTGATGATCCCTCCAACTTACCAAGCACAGTGGTCTGGTGTGCCTTTTTTGCAGAGATTCTCTTCACTTTTCCAGTGGGCTTGTTTTCTTCAGGTAGCCTGAGAGAAGCCCTCTCTCTGTTGTTCACTTCTGCAGCTCAGGACAGTGCCTTTTATGTCCCCCTGTGCCTCCTCTCTTTGTTGGAAACTGGTGGAGCAAGCCTGAGGAAGCAGGTCCCAGTCAGCCTACAACTGCTCGGCCCTGCTCAGCCTGGCTTTATTTTCTTGAAAGTGGCTTGCTAACATTTTTAAGCAGTACAGCCGGTATCCAAAAAACAGAAGTTTGCTATCAGTTAAATCTTGGTAAAGATGTTATCTAATTTATATTATTAGTTTATTTATTAAAATCAGTTCATTTATTCAAATCATTTATACCATGAAAGGAAGATATCACTCTCAGTTTTATATTTCAGTGTTTCTTTAAGGCTTCCCCCTTCTGGTGGGGGAAAAGGATCTACATGAGTAAAGCAGTTATTCTTTAAAACATTACTGAATTTAAATGGTAATGTAGGGTGACTGCCTTGCATATACTTTTACAGTGAAATTATTTATTGTTAAAACCATAATGAAAAGGTCATATTTTCCATAAAATAGACCATACAAGCATTAAACAACTCTGTAGCCTAGATAGAGAAACAACTATATCCAATTATAATTGATTGCCTGGTTTGACATACCATAATATCTTACGAATGCTCTGAAAATGTTACAATGAAATGTTCAAGTATTTATATTCGTGAAGTACTAGAAAATATGTATAATTGCTACATAATACCAGTTACTACAATAAGCATATTGACTCTGTACATTGAAGTTGCAGAAATAATAATCTGCTCCATTACTGAGCTCTTAAGTGACTTAAAATAGGAAGATGGTCCTACTGTGACAAAATTTGCTATATTTCAAAACTGAGATATCTTTTTGTTACCCCTATGGTAACTATTCTGTGAAGACATTCTTTGTAAATTTTAGCCTAGTTTGGTAGGTGATTATGCAGTGGATTATGTCTAACTTCATAAGTATATTAACATTTTTTTTGTTTGTTTTGCGTTTTTGGATGTTTTGGGGTTTTTTTTGGGGGGGGGGTTGCTTTTTTGAGACAGGGTCTCAATTTGTAGTTCAGACTGGCCTTGAACTCACCGTGTAGCTCAGGCTAGCCTTGAACTTGTGATTCTCTTGCCTCAGGCTCCTGAATGCTGGTCTTAATAGATGTGTACCAGCACTCCCAGCTAACCTAATTTGCTTAAGGGAAATTTTCCCCTCAAACCCCGTAACAATACATACTTATTGTAGAATATGTTTTAAAATGAAAAGTATAAAAATCATTCACTTCCCCAGAGGTAAAAGTAACATTTTGATGTATTTTACCTGGTTTTTAATCTTTTTTCTCATTTTACATTATTAATACTGTCCTCTTACGTTAAAGTTTTATAAAGTGTATCTGCTTGCTGTGTAATATTTCATCTTTCAGATGTATCTTAATTTTATTCAGCCATTCTTTTTTATGGAATTTATTTTTCCCATTTTTTAATAATGAACTCTTATTACATGGATGTTTTTCTGTACACATTTCTTTTGTTTGTTTGTTTGTTTTTTCAGTACTGGGGATCGAACTTAGGACATTGCACTTGCCAGGCAGGCGCAACGCCACTGAGCTAAATCCTTGGCCCCTTGAGCATTTTAAAATTTTAGTCCTCAGTACCCTATTTCTTTCCAGAAAGAGTATACCAATTGCTTTTTCATCAGCAGTTTCTGGAAGTTCTATCCCTTTAGACACTGAGCATTTATTATTAATGAGCTTTTAATTAGTTTTTAACAATAACTTTATTTTTAAAGTTTTTGAACTGTCATTACTACTTTAAAATTTTACCTTTGTGTTTATATTCTCATATTATTTTTGCAATCCTACCAAATTTCCTATTCTTATATTTTTACAATTATCATAATAACTCTAGGAACATAGTTTTCTAAACCTGAATTTTTATCCATGTATGTATAGGGTGGAATATAAAAAGAACATAAATAGTTCTTTTTCTCTGAAGTATAGTTATCAGGATCCATAGATGATGAGAGATCACTATTCTTGCTTTGTCAGCTTTGTCGTAGGAAGTATATATAATCCACTCCAGTGCTCTTTTCATTGCAAATTATAAAAATTCTTAAATGTCTGGGGTACAGTGGTTTCAAATGTAGCTTGAATAAAGTTACTGTATCAGGGAATCATATCTGTCTCTTTTTTTCTCTTTGAGCTCTGCTTTCCTCTGAATTGATGACCTTTTCAGACAAGCTCTTTCTGCCTACTGGAAAAGCTCTAGGTTTATGTCACACTTACAGTTAGAAATTCCAACAAAAAGAGTTTTTGCAGAGCATCCACAGAAGGAAGACCTAGTGTGGAGGTCCTCAATGGGACCTGACATGTCCAGAGAGCAATAGAAAGGAAAGGAGTAACAGGAGCCTGATCACAGTAGGGCCGAGAAGGACTTTGCCTTCATAATATTTGAGATGAGAGTCATGGAGATGTGAATAGAAGAGTCACACGTGGGCCAGGGATTTAGCTCAGTCGCGCCGCATCTGCCTCTCAAGCAAGGTCCTGAGTTCGAGCCCCAGTACCGGAAAAAAAAAGTCACAAACTCAGTAAGCAACACTATAGAAATCAATACTGAACTAAAACTAGAAATTCCATTTGACCCAGCTATTCCCCTTCTAAGTATCTTCCTGAAGGAGTTAAAGATACATTACAGTGATACGTGCATAACCATGTTTATAGCAGCATAATTCATAATGGCTAAATTTTGGAAGCAATGTGTATAAGTGGATAAAGAAACTATATTTACAGACAGTGAAGTACTACTCTGTCATAGAGAAAAATAAACCTGATGAACCTGACTGACTTGAAGGAAAATGGGTACACCTTGAGATCATAATGTTAAGTGAAACAGACACTCAGATTTAAATATTGCATGGTTTCTCTCACGAGAGAAACTCAAATTATAAATAAAGAGCAAAATAAAAGAAATAGGAAGTAGGGAGGTAGATCTTTCTCATATGGGAAGGGGATTAAGTGATGAGAGGGAGAGAAAGGGGATGAAAAAAGAATTAAGATGTTTTATGTATGTCTACCAACTCCAAACAAGGAATGTAAACATGCCCTGTACACATATAGTACTAATAAAAATCCCAAGTAGAAATTTATGATATGGAGATAGATTTGTCCAGTGACCAAAAACCCTGCTACTCTTGACTTAAGTCTCTACCTGGATTAGTGGAATTTCTTAGTTTTGCTTGGAAACAGCGTGGGATAGGGAAAAGAATGTAGGTATGGGGTCAGTCAGGCCTGGGTTTTAATCCAAGCTTTACTTAACAGTTTTGTTTAACCAAGTTATTTGACCCCTCTCAGTCTTGGCTTCCTCTTATTACAAGAATAAAATGCCAAGAATTAATACCTCATCAAGTGATGTGGTTACTATTCCTTTTCTCTTTTTTTTGTAGTACTTGGAATTGAACAACACAGGGCCTTTGCACTGAGCTACATCCCCAGCCCTTTTCTAAAAAATTTTGAGACAGGCCCAGGGATTTAGCTCAGTGGTTCCGCCACCTGCCTAGCAAGTGCAAGGACCTGAGTTCGATCCCCGGTACCAAAAAAAAAAATTTTGAGACAAAGTCACTCTAAATTGCCTAGGAAGGACTTGAACTTGGAATCTTCCTGCATCAGCCTTGCAAAGTGCTGGAAATACAAGCATATAATACCATACCTGGCTACTTGTGATCTTAAATCTGCCATTGTTGACAGTGTAAGGGAAAATAGGGAAGGAAGTAGGACAAATAAAAATGGTACTTAAGGGGGCAGGGATTTAGCTCAGGCACCTTGCCTGCCTTGCAAGCGCAAGGTCCTGAGTTTGATCCCCGGTGCCAGGAAAAAAAAAAAGGTACTTAATGTGTACTCAACACAATTAGGAAAAGTTCTAGAAAGCATCTATTTTCAAAACAAATTATGTTCTACATTACCCATCTCTGCTTTTCTCTGCATGCCAGCTTAATTCTGTACCTCTATACCTTTCTCCAAATAGGATGATACGCAGTTCCCAACAGATTTTACATTCTGAGCCACTAAAGGGAGTTAAACATAATAATGGTCTTTCTGCCCTATGTTCAAGAATCTGGTTGATGAGTTGATGGGAGTGTGTAGCTTAACAGTACTTCTTCCTCTTTCATAGACCAGTTGACTATCCAGGTTGTAGGGTACTAACTACCATAGGCTCATGTTAATCAGATAACTGATTTCAGGACCAATCAAATGATTATTTATAACTAACCATGTAGATGGTTGAAGGACTAGTTCTTGGAAAAAAGGGGGTGCTTGGCAGATAGCCACACTGAATCTTCTACACTAGGACATTAAGATTCCATGGTTTTCATCTTGTGTTTTATAGCCTCCAGAGTCTCTGTCAGTACATGGCAAAATATCTCTCCTTAAAAAATGTTTTTTTAAATCTGTCCTTTTTCTCTCTACTTCTACTGCTTATCATGTATTGGCACAAGCATTTTCTGAGGTGATATCTCTTGTACAACAGAAATAAAAAAGTAGATAGTGACTTTTCCTAGCACGTAACACCGTAGTAAAAGTTAGATATCTTAAATGAAATTGTAAAATAAATATTTTAAAATAGTTTACTACTCCAGAATGACCACCTTCTAACTTGTCAGTGTTACTGTCATTAGAAAGACTTCGGGGCTTTGGTGACTTATAGGTTACATACAAACATTTATCTTATTCTGTCAAATAATTTCTATTTTTGCTTTCTGTTCTAGCAAGGAGGTAGATTTGGACCTTCCAAGCACTGAAAATGAATATGTATCAACTTCTGAGGCTGATGCTGTGGAACCCAAAGTGGTATTTAAGGAAAAAACAGTTACTTCTCTTGGAGTTGTGGCAGATGGATTGGCGCCAGTCTTCAAAAAGAGAAAAATGGAAAATGGAAAATCCAGAAATTTAAGACAACGAGGTGATGATCAGTGATTGCAAAAGATCTTTTTATACATGAATTTTGACAATAATGGAGACTTACACATCCTAAAGCTTCTCTGCCTTTGTTACTGAGTACTTTGATGATGGAAATTTAGATTTATTCTAAATGTGTTTTATGTGAATTAAATCTTTTTCACGTGAAATTTATTTTTATTCCTAAAATGGAAGCCTACCACATTGCATTGTAATACAGTGTATTATGTTCATTGTCTAAAAATTGCTAATTATGTCATAATTTAAGATGCTATGTGTCTGTTATTTAAAATACAGAAAAATAAGACCTTTATTCCATTCTTACTTATGTGAACATTTTTATCCTATATTGAAAATGCATTAGTTTAGCATACTGTTATTAAAAAAATAAGAATCAGACCACATAAGAGAAGATTCACAGCCTAGTGACAATGTGGTTCTGAGGATCCTAGCCAAAGGTTGATGTAAATGGATGTATATTGGTTTATCTTACTCAATTTAAGATCAAAGGCCAGAATCAGGAGCAGCTCAGGTACTTCAAATGTAGAGCATAAAATGGAGCAAAAACTGGACCAAAGGTAAAAATGGGTATTTTGCCTATGTTCAGTTTAAAACAACAAATGCTACATAAGCATTTTAACTTTGAGCCAACCATTGTACTAAAAACCGCGATGTAAAAAAGAAACATGTCCTTATTCTTCAGGAGTTCACATTCCAACTTGGTCCTTTTTCCCCAGTCATGTACTTTTCTTTAACAGCCTTATATGTGCTGGGAAAGATTTTTTAAGGCTTATTTAAAGATATGTAGCTAAAGGCTTGAACTAAAATACTAAGGTCTCTGACTTCAGCAGATGTTTTTAGTATTCAGTTAGACATACTAGAAATTTCTCATTTTCTGGTTAGAGTTCTTAAAAAGTAGAATTTTCTTAATCTATTTGAAGTAGGTTCCTCCCATTATTTTACAAATTTATTGTAAAATTGTATTTTTCATAGATTGTACAGTATTTAACTTTTGGTAGCAAATATTTGTCTTTTTACTAGTACTAGTGTACATATAAGAACAATAGCTTATTAAAGACTTCATAAAGTAAATACTGCTTTTGTTGAATTTTTTGAATTTAGAATGTTTTTTTCCCCCTTCTAATACTGATCGGTCATTTTAGCATTGGTTAATATAAAACTTGGAGATTGTCTTTGCATTTCAGTCTGTTTATTTGGGTATTTCATGAATATAAATGCCCAAACTGTCCTCTCCACTGTGAAGAAATATTTTGTAGTTTGAGATAGTAGCTGGTTTATTGTGTAGTTGAGCAAGGCATTTTGGTCCTTTTTTAAGATGAGCTCTCCCTCTGCACCCCTGGGCTCAAATGGTCTTCCTGCCTCCTCAGTAGCTGAGACTATAGGCCAGTGCCCAGCTCTTAATTTTTTTTTTTTTTTTTTGACACCACTAGCAATCAAACCCAGAGCGTTGTGTATGCTGAGTAAGTTCTATACCAGTGAGCTAGTGAGCTACATTACCACCTTTCATTATTTTATAATTTTACACATGTTGGAAGATTATAAAAATATTTTATTATAAATATAGTATCAATGTGTTTTTTTTTTAATCCCAGTAATCTCTGACCCCCTTATCTGTGACCACAGTGAAATTTTTCTCCCCCCTCGCCATGTTAACCCTGGATGTATGTGGCTAGCTTTTGTGATTCTTGGATCCATACATGAGGTACGTGCTGGTGAAATTATATTTAATCAAGCATGGTCCAAGCAGCCAAAAGTAGTTTTATTAATACAGTCTATAAATTCTGGGAACTATGCTAGGAAGCAACAGTACCAAGCATGTTTGTATTAAGTAATATCACTGCTCATAGGTACATCATATATACTTGCAGTAATTAGAATTTTTCTTGGTGTCATATCAATATTATACTGACTTAATTGCTATGTTTTTATAGTATGTTTTAACTACTGGTAGAGCAAATATCGCTATCCTCTTTTTTTTTCAAGGTGTTCATACCTCATAACCATTTGTTATTTCAAATAACATTTTGTCAAGTTGTCTCCCTTTTCCCAAAAAACAAAAAAATACTCCTTATGTTTTTGTACTATTTTATTTATACTTTGGTGTACTACCAGTTGAGTTGGTAGCAACTACCATCTTTCTGACATTCTTCTCATCAACATGTTTTTTCATCTAGTCGGTTCTTTTATGTCCATCTGCAGTCTTGTAGGGGCTGGGGAGGTAGCGCACTTGCTAAGATGTGTGAGGCAAGCCCTGGTTTCAATCCCCAATACTGCAATTTTTAAAAGTAATTTTCATCATATAGACTTTATCCATTTCTGCTTTATTCCCAGTATTTAAACAGCTCCTGATACATCATAAGCATTTGATATTTGTTGTACAGATGTCATTTTTCATCTATCAAAGTCATAGGTCAAGTGGGCTGGGGATTTAGCTCAGTGGTTTCACTGTCTGCCTCGAAAGCGGAAGGTCCTGAGTTCGATCTCCGGTACCAAAAAAAAAGTCATAGGTCAAGTAATTTGATAGTAATGGTGAAGATGTGGGAAAAATTGGTAACCTTGTAAAAGGTTAAATACTTTCTGGCCAAATAGAGACTGCCCACCCAGGCTAGCCCCTGGAACAGCAAAGATCTTGAAGCATTCATATGCAAACCAGGTAATCCCTAGTCTGTAGTGCTGCCTTCTACTTAACCTAATACCATACAAATAAGCCAATACAATCACCTATGAGGGACTGGTTCTAAGAACCGCACCCCCTCCAGGAATACCAAAATCCTCAAATGCTCAAATCCCTTATATAAAATGACATAATGTTTGCATATGACCTGTACATACGTATCTTCTAGTATACTGTTAAATCATTTGTATATTAATAACAATGTGAATATGTAAATAATCGTTACACTATATTCTTTAGGGAAAAAATGACCCCAAAAAAGTTACATATGTTCAGTAAAATTTTTTTCTGAGTATTTTAGTCTGTGATTGGTTGAATCCACAGATGCACATCCTACAGATACAGAGGGCCAGCTGTATATCATTTGTCCTAAATTATCCTACAGCCAACCAAGTACCAGGTAAATAAACAGAGCCTAACCCATTGCCCAGAGCCTGCCAAAACTATTGAAACTACCCAATCCCGAACTATTTACTTTTCTGGGCTCTAAATTTCTCCCAGAACCCTCAAGGCTCAGGCCTAGACTCCCCTCCCTGACACTCAACATCTTATCTTCTGCCACCTGATCAAAACTTGATGCTGGGGATTTAGCTCAGTGGTTGCGCTGCCTGCCTCGCAAGAGCAAGGCCCTGAGTTCAATCCCCAGTACCTAAAAAAACCCAAAAAAGCTGGTGCTTACTCTGTAGCCCTGTGTGGCATGTCTTGACCTCTTCTCTGGGACCTGTGAATATAATAAACTTCCAAGCCTCATTTTCATTTCCCCTTGTGGACATTACCATACTATATCCAACATTTACATCCTTTTTTTAATTTCAGAGTTTTATTCTATTGCACTAAAGGAACAGCAAGATGGTTATACAGTTTTCTGTCTTCAGTTTTAAAAATCTAAGGCACTTACAAATCCTTAAGAATACCACCAAATTATAACAGTAAGCATAATATAACTAGATTCTTAATACCTAAAAATAAAAACATTTAAAATATGGGCCGGGGATTTAGCTCAGTGGTTTCACCACCTGCTGCGCAAGCACAAGAACCCGAGTTCAATCCCTAGTACCAAAAAAAAACATTTAAAATAGCTTTAAATGCATTCTTCACAAATCAGAATATATTTTTATATCATGTTCACTTGTGATTAAGAATTAAAGCAAGTGGGCCATGGATGTAACTCAGTGGTGCTGTGCTTGCCTGGCAAGTGCAAAGTCCTGAGTTTGGTCTTCAGTGCGGAAAAAAAAAAAAAAAAAAACAAGGCAAATATATTACTCTGATGGAAGTGGGAAATCTCTCATTCATGCATTATACAGGGATAATATTCAAGTCAAAGGGGGAAAGTCTCACTGTTTTTTGTAAATGTATCCAGATATAATCATTACATGATAAATGAGGAAGCCTGTCAAGTTTCCTATGAGTCAGATATACATTTTCATTTCATCAGAAGTACCTGATTATCTACAGCTAATTTATAATAAGATGACATTTCAGTAAACCAAAATGAACCCTCAGGTTCCCATAAACAAAAGCTTCCCATGGACTAAGGACAGTCGGTAATTGGAAGGATTGTGGCTGTTCTTTAAGCGTAAATTCCACCTGTCAAAACCAGAGATAACCATTTTATATTAATTATATAATTTATATTATATTTAAATATTAATGTGTTAAATAAATGATTAATAATAGATAATTTATAAATTAATGCTGGATATATTAAATAATATGATTAATATATAAATATATTTAGATGTATTATATTTATATTAATTATATAATTCCACTTAAATTCTTTATCCAAGTGTAACATAGGAAAACAATCTTTCCACAAGCAAAAGATGTGGAAACATTTAAAAATGAGTGATTTTTTTAAAGTAACTGATCAGATGTCATAGGCTACTCCTAGGAACAGGACCTTGCTGGATGGAGTCCCTTCGGCCTCTTCATATCCTTAACCAGACTATTCTGTGTGCTGTTCTAAGAGCTCACCAAAACATAGATCATGCCATAGGGGTAGTAAAAAACAAATGCTAGGAGGTAAAAAGCTAGTTTCCACCATCCTTTCTGACAATATGCTAGGATATCTGCATTCATGATGGTTGTGGGGACATACAGTCCTAGTTCACCCATCACCGGTCTACTCATGTACCTCCAGATATGGTATGTCAAGAGGGGCATATTGAGACCCAGTGTGAGCCACTCTACAGTGCAAAGAAAAAGGGCAGAAGAAAGCCTGGATGAGGTACTCTGGGAGAACCAGAGGATTCAGGGTATTACGCTGGTCTATAGGATTCTTGTAATCAGTCTTCAGCTCATCAAATGCTGCAATGTGCCAGATGGCGAAGAAGATGAGCACGTCAGTGAGCAGGAGCACCAGCAGGTAGCAGAAGGCTTGGAATGTGAATTCCATGGTTGGGGTGGCTACATTCTTAAAAGTATAAATTGATACAGTCTCTACAGAGAACAAATTTTCAACAAATCAAAATTTAAAAGCATATACTTCTTGACCTTTAAATTTCACTTTCAGAAATTTATCCTACAAATTAATGAATATGAGAGATGACATTCATAAGACTAATAAATGTAGCATTATTTATAAATCAGAAATTGGAAATGACCTAAGGTCTATCAATAGAAAAATAGTTGAAATAATTATGCTGTACCCATTCAATACAATACTGCACAGCTGTTCAAAGAAAGGAGCCTTGTATGTACTTTCATAGACTGATCTCCAAAATAAATTATTAGTTCAAAAAAGCAAGATGTAGAACAAGAAATAATGCATGTTTCAAAACATGTTCTAGTACCAATCATTACCAATCCTTGTTTTGTTAATCTAGTGGCTGTTTAGACCTTGGGCAAGTTAATTCAACTTGTCTGCGCCTCAGTGTTCTTATCTGTAAAACAGTAAGAATGTCTACCTTTGAGGCTTATTTTGAGAAATAAAGGGATTAATGTGTTTATCAAGTGCTTGGGACAATCCCTATCATACAGTAACCACAAAATCTTAGCTATTATTATCTATGTTAAAAGTATATACAGGTGTAAAAAAAATTAAAAATAACACAAAGATCCAATTCCTACTCATTAACAAATTACTCTTTTTTTTTCTTTTCCCAGTTCTCTCATCTCTTGCGATGCAAAAGTCCATTTACTTGCAATTTAGATATTCCCTAGTTTGATATAGATAGATAGATAGATAGATAGATAGATAGATAGATAGATAGATAGATAGTTGTGTTGAGATATCTGTGTGGTCCCTTTTGCAACAAGGAAAAATTGGGTTTTAACTCAAGGTTAAAATCTATATTAAAATTAATTCACTGGACAGGGATGGTGGTGATGATTAGGCAATGTGAATGTACTTAATTACACTCAATTGTATACTTAAAATTGATAAAATGGTTAA